ATATGCTAATTTTTTTAGAAGGACCTGTGTGTATACAACTACCTACAACTTGCGGCTGATTAAACAAAAGCAGGTCACACTTCGCAGACTTATTATTTGTCAAAAACGTTTAAAAAGGACTTAAATTTCACAATCAAGAAACGTGACAAAAGGGTGAAGGGGTATAAGTACTATTAAATCTCTTGAAGGGCAATGCACATGAAAGTGAAAGTGGCTTCCGATAAGATAGAACTGGTGTAGCCTTTAAAAACCTGCTTGAGCAGTTTTCCTTTTAAAAACACGAATACTTCCAACACAGAGTCACAACAGAATGAACAGGCAGCTAAAACAATTGATGCTAGCAGCTGCCGTGGCCCGAGAAAGATGTGGTCAAAACAGGAAAGTGAACTCTGGAGAGCACGGAACACTAAATAACACGAATGTGGGAGCATTTCACGTTTCACATAGCTTAAAATATGAGGTAGGAGTAGATAATAACTCACTGTGAGCAGAGAGAGAGTCCAGGAGCAGCAGCAGCAGCTGCAGAGGAGAAAAGAGAGGAGCTCAGGCGAAACTAACGAAACCCACCGACATCATGAGACCGGGAAGGGAGGAAGAGCCTCCAAACTCGACCAGCTCTGGTACCATGACTGCAGACGGTCCGTCCGAACAGCCTGGCTCATTAAAACTGACACAGAGGGGGAAACACGACAAAAACCGCCGGTTTTTGGCTCGTTAATGGAAAGCGGCTATCTTTGTTAGCTCGGTGTTGTTCAGAGAACGTTCGCTTCCCATTCTAATCCAGGTTGAATAGTCGATAGCAGAAAGCGGGCTAATCAGTACAGAAGAGTCGATCACAGAGCAAAATGATCAATTTCAACACATAGATAGATAGATATTAAGTCATAAGTTATTTCAGAAAAGAAAAATCTTGATTCAATAAGACCTTATTATCCTTACATCTAAATCTGCCAGGAAACTTAGCTGTACCTAGATTGACCCACCCCACCAACACACACCGACACAAACACCCTCACAAATCAATATTTGGGCAAATTATGTGTGGCAAGTTGTAAAGAAACCACGATAAACTTCCAGCTTAATACCCATTTTATTGTCACTTCTGCTGACTGACATTCTTGTATGGACATGGCATTTAAGCTTACTTTTCAAGATCAAGGCCATTCCAGAAGCTTACATGCTGCCTAGTGTCAGAGATTTTTTTTTATCTCATGGGTCATCCAACACGATAAAGACCCAACACACAGCTAAAAGCACCGAAGAATGGATAAGAGCAAAACATTGGACTATTCTGAACTGGTCATCTATGAGTTCTGATCTGAATCCCGTTGCGTATCTGTGGGAGGAGCTGAAACATGCCATCTGGAGATGGTACCCTTCAAACCTGGGAGAACCAGAGCATTTTGCCCACTTGGAGTGAACCATCATACCTGTGGACAAGAGCAGAAGTTTCATTGATAGGTAGAGAAACTTTGTAAAGGTTGAACAGGTTCCATAGTTTTTGTCCAGGCCTGTTTTATTTGTTGTTTTTTTAATTATTATTCTGTTGAATTCAAAAGCAACATTTGATTTTCACTGGTAAATTTTCAGTAATTTGTTTTATTTATTACTTCTGTCAGCTTTTTGTCCATTATTGGAATGTTACACATTTTGTATTCACATGTGTGAATATTAGTATAAACTGTATGATTTTCAACTCCCCAACTTATTAGAAGCCACTGTGAAGAAGAGGGAGGAGTGCTGAATGCTACTCTTGTGCAATGTTTAGAAACAGAGGAAGTGTTTATAGTTGTTGAAAAAGGAAGTTGCTTTTTTTTTTTTTTAGCTCTTATCAGTTCAGTATTAGCCAAGATGGGAAGTGAGTAGAGAACTTTCTGTCACTTGTTACAGCTGCTTTTTCTCTAAAGTTCATCAGAGTACAATTAAAACTGTTGCAAACTCAAAATCGCATAGGCCGTAGCTAAAACAGATTAGAACTCCAACCGGCTGCCAGTTAAGACAAATTAAATACACAAGTTTTAGGACTTTGATGCTATTTGCTTTTCTCTTGTTCTTGATCTTCAAACACGCTGTTCCCACTTTAGAGAGTCATGGACACTTGAAACAAGGCCCACACAACCTGACACTATGGTTTTATTTTCAAAGCAAACATCTTATCAAGCAGGCAGGAAGTTTCTGACAGGGCATGATTGTCTGATTAAAATAAGTTTCAGTTGGAGAGTTGTCATGTTGTGATGTTTTCCTAAACATGAACCGCCTGACTGAATGATGTGGTTGTTTAAGAACTGCCTAGTAAAACATATTGCTTGCATATTTCTAAAATGATAATTCGGGTTATTGTCAGATGAAGTTAAATCCCAAGTTTTGACTGACAGTAATTGCTTTGCTTATCCAAACTGAAGTTCCAAATGTAATTTGTATGTTGACGTTAAATATTTTGTTTTTTGTGATTACCCAGCATGAGTTGAAATGGAGAAATGATCTTTGTCGCCCTCTACTGGTATCATAAATAAGCACACAAGTCAACAATACCACCTCAAACTGGCTCATACAGTGATTTTATTTAAATACGAAAAACAGCACTTTGATTGCAATCAGAAGGCTCCACAAAAAACATAAAATGTCATTATGCACTACCATTGTTATTTTCAAATACACCATACCTGTATACCGCTATTAATATAAGTTAATCTAATACATTCCACCGTTTGAAGGTTTTATTAAATGCTGACTCAGACTTTGCAGCTTCACCACATAATTAAAAAGGCTAATTTGTGAAAACATCGTCAAGGAAACATTTTAAAAGAAGATCCTGTGAAAACCACATATAAAAATATTTAATCTTAAAGCATCAGAGCATTTCAATAAATTAAAAACGCAATCGAAACCCCTGATGCATTTCTTTTCAAAAAAGTGACACTTGCGTATGGTATTGACTCTTTACAGTTTTTTACTGACAGCTAATTAATCTTTTTTTTTCTTAAAAAAAATTATATTGGAAATTTATAGTCAAAATCAATCCTGAGGAAGACTGCTGACAAACTGATTATATTCATCTAAAGCAGATGATTAAAATTATTTAATGCATTAAAGAAGTCAACATTCTCCAAATCTACTGCTGGTTATCGCTGTGAGAGCGCTGGTGGAATTTGAGCCCTCCACAGTTCCTGAACGACTTCCCGCACTGCCCGCAGACGTAGGGCTTCTCCCCGGTGTGGATGCGGAAATGCCGGGTGAGCGCTCCCGAGTGGCGGAAGCACTTGAGGCACACGGAGCAGGTGTACGGCCTCTCTCCGGTGTGGATGCGCAGGTGGGTCTTCAGGTTCTCCAAGCGGTTGAACTCTCGGCTGCACACGGTGCAGCGGAAGGGGCTGCAGCCCGGGGGGTACAGCTGCAGCCTGGTTCGCGTGCCCCCCGCTACGGGCGGCAGACAGCGCTGCTGGAGCCTCTGGCGGCACTGGCCGTAGTGTCGCCGTAGCAGGCTGGGCAGGGGGAAGGTCTGACCGCAGAACTTGCACGTGGGAACGGCGGAGACGCTGCGGCCTGCCTCCAGGTGGAATCTGTGGACCTGCGGAGGAACTTGCGATACGGAAGCTTGTTCGGCCAGGTGGAAGATGTTTGGAAACTCTTGGGAGACGGACTGGAGGTCGGAGGCTGAAGGGAGGCTGCTGCTCATGTCTGGAGGACAAGCTGAAGGAATGAAAACAAATCGGATAAAACCGTAATGTCATGATGAAAAATGTAAGGTTTTGTCACAAATATATTCTATTTTTTGCTTGCTTTAACATGAAAGAATGAAGTTTGTTTTTTACTGGATAGAGAGGGCAAAATGTCTCTTGTCGACCGATGGACCAAACATTTAAAACCTTAAATAGAAATGCTCCTGCACATTTCTTCAACTTTGAGCTCATCTGGTTTGCCCCTTACCTTGATCTACCCTTGCACCGAGAAGACGAGTCTCTGGATCTTGACTCTGAACATCTGTCTCCTCTGGTGACCACTCAATGCCCTCCATGCTTAAGTTTTCCTCTTTAATTAATTCCAAGCAGCAGGACGCCCCACTCCTTTGCTCTTCCAGTCTTTCCTGCTTTACGATAACTTGCTCCATTGTAGATTTGATGGCAGTGCTGAGAGGTGGCGCCGACTCTGGAGCTCGTGGGTTTCGACATGTTATCACGCCTTCGTTTTTCAATGCAATCATCTGAGATGTCATCTCAGTGGGATCTATGAAAAAAAATGAAGCAAAATGTAAAAACAGAAATATGTTCAATAGAATTTTTTTGTTGTAATGACATTGAATGCAATACAAAAGAAAAGTGCATAGACTTTTTTTTATTTACCATCTGCATTTTTGCTTAACATTTTAGGAATGACTCCTTCCTGTTCAAACATTACTATGCACCAGTACACAAAGCAGAGTCTATAAAGAAACGAATGAGTAAGTTTGGTGTGGAGGAACATGACTGGGCTGCAGAGTCCTGACCTCAACTCAAAACATCACTGGGATGGTTTAGAAAGAAGCATGCAAACCAAGCCTTGTAGTCCAACATCAGCGTCTGACCTCACAAATGAGCATTTCTAAGAATGGTCATTGGTTCACCCCAAACATTAAGGAAAGTTTTCTTAGAGTTTAAGCTAAATAGGCAAATGCTGAGCTGCGATAAACCTTTAGCATTAAAGTTCGTGTGCGAGAGTAAACCAATACCGTCAGCAATGTGGTGTAAATGAATCATAACGCCTATGTAAACACAGAGGCAGGTTGCCCTACCATTATTATGATCCTTTTCTTGTTCTGAGGCTACATTGGCCAGCAGCTCTTCACGTCTGTTCATGTATTCACCTCGAACATCCGGGCCAGGGCAGCCGTGACCTGCAGGCTCACTCCTGATCTCGGCGCTCTCTGTTGCAGCATTCTTGTTTAGACCGCAGGGCGTAGGGTGGGGCGCCTCGCCTCTTCGCATAACGCCTCCGTCATTATCCTCAAGCCGCTCACATTCAGCCAGCATCTCTTCTGCCCGCTGCAGCTTCTCTTTCAGGGACTCGTTTTCCCTCCGCAGCTCCACATACATGTCACTTGTCGCCTGACCTACGAGCGTTCTCACCTCCCGGACTGCGATCTCCACAGCCACTTCCAGAGCTCCGTGTATCGCAGCAACAAGCTCCTCTTGAATTGATCGCACAGCCTCAGATCCGCATAATGAAGGCGCAAACGCTCGCCTTTGCGCCCCGGACAGCTGCGGCTTCATGGCGCATTCAGTTTTTTTGGAATATTTTTCGTTGACTGACCTAGGTTTGCCGCTGGTTTGTAAACCGAAACGCCACTTCCGCACAGTACGACATGTATGGAATTTCAGTCGCTCTCAAAAATAAATTGAGGTTGGGATTCTGGTAGCTCCCACACATTGCGACACCTAACGGTGGGCGTGCTAAATTGCAACTTTATCCACAAAAAAAAAAAA